AATCAAAAGAATCCGTAAAGAACTGTAGCCTGTAGAGTGAGCACGAGTTGCACAATATAGCTAATAGAGTAAACGTCAAGTCAGACAGGATATTTCAGTGAAAAATTATCCGATCATCACGAAAATCAATAGGGATCATCTTCATAATAACATTGGCACACAAAATAAAAATCAAAAGAATCAGTAAAGAACTGTAGCCTGTAGAGTGAGCACGAGTTGCATAATATAGCTAATAGAGTAAAACGTCAAGTCAGACACGATATATCGGTAAAAAATTATCCGATCATCACGAAAATCGATAGGGATCATCTTCATAATAACACACACAAATTAAAAATCAAAAGAATCCGTATAGAATTGTAGCCTGTAGAGAGTGAGCACGAGCCAAATGTGAACGGACGGACCGACGGACCGACAGGGTGATTACAATATACGCCCATCTTTCGAGTGGGCGTATAATAAAAATCAAAAGAATCCATAAAGAACTGTAGCCTGTAGAGTGAGCACGAGCCAATTGTGAACGGACGGACGGACGGACGGACCGACGGGGTGATTACAATATACACACCATCTTACGTGTTGGCGTATACAAATGAGGTTCGGCTGTAACCTTTAAATGGCAGATGAAATGGCGGCCAAGGAACACGTCTTTGTGCTACTGAACACAGGAGTACCATTGCTCATTGTTCATTTTGAATAACATATAACTATTTTCAAAGTAGTAATACCTTATTCAAAAAAAACTTACTTGGGCATGGTCTTCCGTTACAGGACACATTTTCAGTTTTGTAAGATTGTCCACGGCATTGAGCACCATGGTTGTATGGGGTTGGGTTGGTACAAGTTCTCCTCAAAACTCTGGTCAGAGTTCCAGTTCCACAAGTAGCACTGCAGGAGGATCGTTCAGATTCAACAAATGTGGACCATCCACCATTTCCTTAAGAAAAATAGAAGAAAAATGACCCAAACGTTAAACCCTGCAATTATTTTAACATTATAATCGACTAGCACCAGCTACGACAGACAACAAATAAAACGCATAAAAATGCACGAAGGACTCAATGCATGTCAGTTTCGACATGTAAGACAGCTAACAGATCGGAGTATTTGGAGGATTAACAATTGATCAGTCGTGGATTGAGTTGCCGAGTAACAGCATACAATGAAAGGTAATTTCCGTACAAGATACGTTGGAATGCCTTACTAGTCTCCGCTATCATATTAGTCTCGATCACCGGATCTCTTAAAGTGAATACTTACTGCAATAA